CCCCCCCCGCCCGGGGAGAAAAGCCAAGTCCCCAGCCCCGCCCCCTGCTCTAACCACTAGCCCTCACTCCCCTCCCCCAGCCAGGGAGAGAATCCAAGATCCCAGCCCCGCCCCCTGCTCTAACCACTAGCCCTCACTCCCCTCCCCCAGCCAGGGAGAGAATCCAAGATCCCAGCCCCGCCCCCTGCTCTAACCACTAGCCCTCACTCCCCTCCCCCAGCCAGGGAGAGAATCCAAGATCCCAGCCCCGCCCCCTGCTCTAACCACTAGCCCTCACTCCCCTCCCCCAGCCAGGGAGAGAATCCAAGATCCCAGCCCCGCCCCCTGCTCTAACCACTAGCCCTCACTCCCCTCCCCCAGCCAGGGAGAGAATCCAAGATCCCAGCCCCGCCCCCTGCTCTAACCACTAGCCCTCACTCCCCTCCCCCATCCTCCCCCGCGCTCATTGGTGCTGAGCCCGGTGCCCACTCACCCTGCAAGAGCGCCAGCTGGGCTGGGGGGCGGGGCAATGCACCCACTGGAGCCCCCCACGCCCTGCCCCCCTCCCAGCCAGGCAGAGAACCCGGGCGTCCTGCGGCCCAGCCCCTCCCCACGCAGCTCCCCTCCCCACGCAGGCAGACCCCCGAGCCCCTGGGTTCTCTGCGCTGCTCTGCCTTCTGGGGCCTGGAGCTGGGTCTGGACTGAGGCCTGAGTCTGCCTGGGAACCCAACCCCCTTCCCTGGGACCAGGGCCCCTGTGGTGCCCCGTGCTGGGCAGACAGACCCCAAGTGAGATCAGGGGCTCTCCTTCATGCCACACCCTGCAGCAGTCCCCTTGGAGGGGATCCACAGGCTAGTTCTGCGTCAGTCCCCGGCACCAGTAAGACTGTGACGCAGCCCCGGGCACTGGCCCCCACTGGAAAGTCATCACACCAGGAAACAGACGCATTCCCTCACAAGTTTCTACTCACCACCATTCAGTACCCGGGCCCTGGACCCATCAGGGCAGTGCTGTTATCCCAATACGAATGTAAAACAGCCAGACTGGGTCAGACCAAAGGTCTGTCTCGCTCACTAACCTGCCCTCAGGCAGCAACCAATGCCAGGTGCCCCAGAGGGAATGAACAGAACAGGGAATCGAGTGATCCCTCCTGCCACCCATTCCCAGCTTCTCACAGAGGCTAGGGACACCTTTCCTGCCCATCCTATCTAATAGCTATTGATGGACCTCCCCTCCATTAATTCATCTAGCTTTTTTTTGAACCGTGTTACAGTCCTGGGCTGTGTCTAGACTGGCAAGTTTTTCCACAAAAGCAGCTGCTTTTGCGGAAAAACTTGCCAGCTGTCTACACTGGCCGCTTGCATATCCGCAAAAACACTGATGATTTAATGTAAGATTGTCAGTGTTCTTGCAGAAATACTATGCTGCTCCCGTTTGGGCAAAAGCCCTCTTGCGCAAATGCTTTTATTTGCGGTATTGTTTTGTGCAAAAAAGCCCCAATTGCAAAAATGGCGATCGGGGCTTTCTTGCGCAAAACTACATCTAGATTGGCACGGACACTTTTCCGCAAAAAGTGCGTTTGCAGAAAAGCATCCATACCAATCTAGACGCTCTTTTCCGCAAATGCTTTTAACAGAAAAACTTTTCCGTTAAAAGCATTTCTGGAAAATCATGCCAGACGTAGCCCTGGTCTTCACAACATCCTCTGACACAGGTTGACCGTGTCCTGTGTGAAGAAATACTTCCTTAGGTTTGTTTTAAACCTGCCATCTGTTAATTTCAATTGGTGACCCCTAGTTCTTGTGTTAGAATCTATGGGTGTGTGCTTGAAAACGCAGCAACAAACAAATAACATCTGCAAACAGTGATTGGACATGGATACATCCATTCTTTCTCATTCACTGAACATGTCATAGTCTGCGTAAGAGGGTGCATATATGGGTGTACATGGGCAGAACTGGGGGAAGTTTTTCTGACACACACCTCTTTCCTTCCAAGAGAAGTATGCCAATGCAGCCACACAGACTCAGTTCACATCAGTTTCACTAAATTAGTTGGGCAGGAGAAAAAAAACTAAACTTCTGGCAAATGTTTTTACATGTCTCAAGTTGCTAGATCAAAAATGCTTTTTTTTGGTTCAAAACTTCTTTTAATTCTACTTTTAGAATAAAATCAAGAATGCTTTAAAAACGCTTACAATTTAAACAACCCTTTTTATTTGACCCGAAATGTTTCCCTCCCTCCCAATTTTTTATTCAATGGAAACATCTAAACATTTGGGTTTGGTTCAAACCAAAATCAATTTTCCCAAGAGTCTGGAACTGCCGAGAACAGACAGGCTCCTTGCTCCCTGTCTGGTGCATGGCTGTGTATGTGTGTGCGACAGAGAACGGAGGTGAGGCAAGTATGAATGTCACAATTCATGCACCAGTCATTTTGTTAATTACTACTGATTTATCTGTTCTGAGGCAGTGTCATCAACCCAGGACAAGTACTGGCATCCTAGTGTGCTAGGAGCTGTACAGAAAATTGACACAGGAAGACCCTGCTCCAGGAGCCCTCTACTGGCAGAAAAAATCCAGGCAATTGGAGTTTGACAAGATTGTACAAGCTTAGTTCCTACTTCTCTAACATACAAGGGCTTCCTCCCACGCCACCCCCCACCTTCTGTCACTGCTGAAAGAGCAGTTTGGCCCAATGGGCTGTGGAGTCAGGGAAGCTGGGAGATAAGACTCCTGGATTCTATACGCAGATCTACCACTCACCTGCTATGTGGTTTTGGGTAAGTCACTTCCCTGTCCGTGCCTCAGTTTCCCCCCTACCATTTATCTAGACTGGGTGCTCTCTGGGACTGGGGCTGTCCCTCACTCTGGCCCTGTGCAGCAGCTGGCCAGTTATCAAATTGATGCTCCATAGGGGCTGTACAGATCCCAGCACAAAGAGGCAGACCTCAGTCACCAATGTAATATACCAGACAAGGCAAGGGGAAGCTGTACTAGCTTCTTCCCACCCCCAATTCTCCCTTCAGGTCTATGTCTGGACTAAGGATTGACACTGCGCTACCTCAACTCCTTGGACACAAGCCAGATGGGGCTGTTACTGCTGCCTGCAGTGAGGGCTCTGAGGATGGAGTTGTGAGGGGTGGAGAGGAAGGGGAAGAGGGTTCATCCCCTAGCGGTGACACTCATCATCCAGCCCAGAACTATAGCATGGCCAAGTGCCTGCTGGGAACTGAGATCCTAGGCTCTAGGATGGGACGTCCCCTAGCTGGCACTGGGCTCCTGAACTAGCAGGTCTGTGGGCCACAGAGGAGCCGGGCTCTGAGGATGGAGTTGTGAGGGGTGGAGAGGAAGGGGAAGAGGGTTCATCCCCTAGCGGTGACACTCATCATCCAGCCCAGAACTATAGCATGGCCAAGTGCCTGCTGGGAACTGAGATCCTAGGCTCTAGGATGGGACGTCCCCTAGCTGGCACTGGGCTCCTGAACTAGCAGGTCTGTGGGCCACAGAGGAGCCGGACGCTGGAGCCGAGATAACCGTCCATATGGGAGCACCTGTGTTTGCAGCCAGTTGGGAAGCAGCCCCTCCATGTCGCAGTAGCCTCTCACCCCCTCCCTCACCTGGCTCCCAGGAGAGAGGAAGGAGCAGAAAGCAAGGCCCCCAGCCAGCAACATCCCAGGGGAACAAAGGGATGGGCCGACAACAGGATGGGATAGGCCTGTAGGATTGGAGGGGGAAATAGCCAACCCCTCCCCCAGTGGTTGGCTATGGTTTATTGCCCACTCAAACAAAAGAGAAGTCCAGCGTGTTCTCCCCACAGCACCACGATTCCCCCACAGGCCAGCCATGGGGCATCCCACTGCCCTATGGGCACGTCATCCCTATATTCCCCCCACTGCTCTCCAGCTGCAGACTCAGCCTTGGGGGAGTCACCCTGGTGATAAATCCCTCATGAGACACAGGGCATCCATTTCTGGGTTCCCTTGTGAACCCCCCATGCAGGGGAAGCCGATCCCAGTTGGGTCACCCCCCGGAGCACCAAACTGCGCCCCAGGTTATGGATTCCCCCCTCCCAATATCACCCCCACAGCACTAGAGCTAGGAAGCAGGGCTGAAGTCCACAAGACCATGGGTCCCAAGGGGGTCTGAGATCCCTTCCTCCTCATCAGCCCCCTCCACTGATTCTTTGTGACAGTGGCATGGCCCCCACCAGAGTGAGGGCGGGGCTCAGAACAGAGGGGGTGCATAACCCCCTGCTTGGAGGCACCCTGATTTCCCCCTGCTCCACTAGCCCCAATCCATGCTCTCCAAATTTGCTCCTTCCAGGGGAGAGGGGAAGATGGACTACGGGGGACCCTACCTTAAAACTCAGCCCTCTGGGGGGAATTCAGCTAATCCCCCCGGCCATGGCTGGGTTGCCTCACCCTATCAGGAGAAATGCAACAGAAATGAGGGCTCCTGGGAGGCAGGTGGCTCCCTGCCATAGGGGAAGGGGGCTGGCCTCCACCCCCTGCAGGCTCCACATTCCTCCTACTTGGGAGGACCGTGCCCCATCTCTGCATCCAGCTGCCACTGCCACCCTGCTACATCAGGCTCTGGAGGTCCTGCTACTGCTGCTGGCAGAGCTCCGCCCCCTGTGGCAACCAAGCCCCGCCTCCGCAGGAGCAGAGCTCACAGCTGGACGTTGGAACTGGGGGCGTGGCAGCTAGTTGAGCACCAAGTCCCGCCCTCTCCAACAGCTGAGGGCACACTCCCTGCATACAGGGACAGGACCACAAGCAGAACTCCTCGTCCGGCCTTCAACAGGATCCAATTTCCACTCCCCTGTAGGAACCGATCCCACAACCTGTTCATGTCCAAAGTGCCTGAAGCAGGAGGGAGAGGGGGATAATCTGCCAAATCCTGCCCATGCCACAGGCTCCGCCCCCTACGTCCAACAGCTGTTGCCACACTCAGTACACCTATAGGGTCCCTCTTCCTGTTGGGCTTGCTGCTGGAGGTGGCTGGGTCCGAGCTGGAAGCTCTTGCCACACTGGCTGCAGATGTAGAGACGGTCCGCCCCGTTGGCATTGGCGGAGTTGGCAGCACCAGCATGGGCGTGGGTGCGCCGGTGCCGGATGATGTGGGAGCTGAGCCGGAAGCTCTTGCCGCACTCAGCGCAGATATAGGGCTTCTCGCCAGTGTGGACGCGCCAGTGGTCCACCAGGTTGGAATGGTGGGTGAAGGCCTTGCCGCACTCCCGCATTCGCCGCAGGGGAAGGGCTTCTCCCCGGTGTGGGTGCGCTCGTGCTTGATGAGATTGGAGCTGAGGCTGAAGCGCTTGCCGCACTCCCGGCAGCCGTAGGGCTTCTCGCCGGTGTGGGTGCGCCGGTGGTTGACCAAGGTGGAGCTGCCCGTGAAGCGCTTGCCGCACTCGGAGCACTGGTAGGGCTTTTCGCCGGTGTGGGTGCGCCGATGGCGAGCCAGGCAGGAGCTGCCCGTGAAGCGCTTGCCGCAGATACCGCACTGGTAGGGGGTGACACCGGTGTGGGTGCGCCGGTGCAGGTTGTAGTTGGAGCTCTGGCTGAAGGCCTTGCCACACTCACCGCAGACGTAGGGGCGCTCCCCGGTGTGGAAGCGTTGGTGCTGCAGCAGGTTGGAGCTAGCGGTGAAGGCCTTGCCACATTCCCCGCAGACGTAGGGGCGCTCCCCAGTGTGGGTGCGCTGGTGTTTGGTGAGGGCCGAGCTCTGGGTGAAGCTGCGCCCGCACTCCCCGCACGAGAAGGGCTTCTCGCCGGTGTGGATGATCTGGTGCTTCACCAGATTGGAGCGACGGCTGAAGCTCTTGCCGCACTCTGTGCAGGTGTTGGAGCGGTCTGGCGCTGTTGCCCTTGCCCTGCCCCCACTCCCCGGGGACGCCATCAGCTGCAGGATGGGCTGTGGGGCAAAGGCACCAGGGCATTAACTCATTTCCGCAGAACCAGGAATAGAGTCCCCAGCTCCCCTCCCATCCCAGAGCTGGGGACAGAACCCAGGCGTCTTGACTCCCACCCCCCACTTGCTAACCCCTATTGCCCTTCCAGAACCAGGGACAGCACCCTCAGGAGAGAATGGCAGACAATGAACCTCCTTCTGCCTCCTCAGCCTGCCTCCGGCCCTCTCTGACTCTGCTAGTTCTCCTTTTCTCCTTCCATAACTGCAATCCCAACATTCTGCCCCTAGAACTCCAGTTCCCCCCTCCCAACATTCTGCCCCTCATTTCCAGTGAGCTGGTTGGGTGTGAGCTAGTGCCACTAAGGAGAATTATCCCCAATAGGAGAATCCCTGGAATTCCTCCAGCCCTATAGCCCCATGATCTGCCCCACATTTTGCCCCACCCCAGGGAGCTCTGATTTAACCCTTCATTCTCCAACAGCTGAGCAAACAGTCTCCAAGACCCCAGCCCGCACCTGCATCCTGTCCTTTCGCTGTGGTCCCTCACTGGGGCTCAGGTGGTGAAGGGGCAGCTGTGACCCCCAGCCCTGCATGGTCACTTACCGAATTCCCCTCCACTGGGATCCTCAGCTTCTGTACCTCGAACTTGGGCTCCTCTGAATCCATGGCTGGCTCCCCCTCGCGGCATGCCACCGACTCCAGCTGGGGGGCAGGAGTCTGGGTTAGAGCAAAGGAACCACTGCCCTGCATTGACCCAGCCGACCTATCCCCTGCCTCTCCTCAGATTGGCCCCTGGGCCAGCTAGCTCCCACCTAGATCAGCCCAGCCCCCTTCCCTCTCATTCCCCCATCCGTATTGGTTCCATGGCCCCTTGTCCTAGACATCCCTCTCCCCAGTTCAGCCCAGCTCACCTTCCCCCAGCATCAACCCAGCCACCTCCCCCTTCCCCAGGTCAGCCCCACTCACTGAATTTCCATCCATGGAAACCCTCAGCTTCTGCACCTCAAACTCTTGGTCTTCTTCCTCCTCTGCCTTCACCCTTCTAATTACCAGCTCTTCTTCTTCCTCCTCATCTCCCTCCTCCTCCTCAGACAGCTCCTCTGGCAAAGCAGCAGAGTCCAGCTTGGGAAAAGGCAAGTGGGGAGATGGTTAAACAGCATGGGAGGGGCATGCCAGCCTGGAGCCCTGGCACAGACTGGATCCAGCTCCCAGGCACAATTCAAACGCTGCTTCCTGGTCCCAGACAGGGAGAGGCTGCAACTGACAGATAAAGGCTTAGCCCTAAGGGAGAAACTGAGGCACAAGATGGGGCAAATTAATTATTTAAGGTTTCAGTACTGGGAACAGAACCCAGGAGTCCCCCTGCTCTAACCCACCAGACCCCAGTCTTCCCCCAGAACCACAGACAGAACCCAAGAGTCCTGAATCCCAGCCTCCCCTCTGCCATACACTCCATGCAGCCACTTAAAGGGGAGCTAGCAGACCTCAGATGGCTTCAGACACTGCATGCAGTAACAGTGTCTTGTTCTTGGGACTTCCCCCCAATCCAGAAACTGCTCAGCTATTTCCAGGTTAACACTCCCCCCCATCTTTTCACAGGCCCAAGAGCTTGACTGTTTCTGCGGCAGCAGGCAGGGTTTGTTTATACAGGCTGCAATGCAGCCACCTCTGGGGTGAGGCTTGGGAACAGTTTATACAGAGGTCCCTCACCCAGCACTGTGCTGCGGCAGTCCTGGGGTCAGCACTGCCTGTGGCGGACTCGCCTCCCGCCTCACTCCCTGCAGCATCACACTCCCTAGTGTCAAATGCCCCCCCCCCCCGCACATATCAGCATGTTAGTTACTCACCGAGTCCCCATCTGCTGGGATCCTCAATGTCCGCACCTGGAACTCCTGGCCCTCCTCCTCCTCCGGTTCCTCTTCCTCCTGCTGCAGCTCGGGCTGCTCATCCAGAGGAGCAGGAGAGTCCCACTTTGACGGAGAAGCGGACTGCGACTAAAGGGGGGGGCATCAGAGGGGAACAGGGGACTCAGCAAGACAAGCTCCCATTCTAAGACCCACACCAAATCCCTTCTGGATGTGGCCGGGCCCAGGATCCACTCCACATACACAACCAGGCGTTCCCCAGCCCCGCTGGTAGGGCAGCAGGCTGCACCCCAGTGCTAGCTGCATATGCACAGAAGGAGAGAACAAGGTTAGTACAGTTCTCCGCCCAGCTAGCCTCCCTTCCTTCTGTTCCTTCCCCCCAGTCCCAGCCCCCACCCCCATTTCTACTCCTTTCACCCCAATCCTGCCCCCACCCAGCCACCATTACCCGTCGGTGGAGGCCGCTGGCCTGAATCCGTCCGACTGAGAGCTCCCCTCCTGCTCCTCCATCTCGTCTTCCTCCTCCTCCATTGAGTCAGCAGATGGGGACAAGGGCAGCTTGGGGAGAGGAAAACACAGGGTTAAAACCAGCGCCATGCACCAAGTGCCAGACCCGCACCCAGAGCCAGGGGTACAACCCTGGAGTCCTGACCCGTGGAGGCCGCTGGCCTGAATCCGTCCGACTGAGAGCTCCCCTCCTGCTCCTCCATCTCGTCTTCCTCCTCCTCCATTGAGTCAGCAGATGGGGACAAGGGCAGCTTGGGGAGAGGAAAACACAGGGTTAAAACCAGCGCCATGCACCAAGTGCCAGACCCGCACCCAGAGCCAGGGGTACAACCCTGGAGTCCTGACCCCCCCCAACCCCCACTGCAAGGGGTAGAACCCTGGAGGCATAATCCCCCAATTCTCCCCCACCCCACTCCCAGAACCAGGGGGCTGCCCCATGAGCACTGCAAGGGGTAGAACCCTGGAGGCATAATCCCCCAATTCTCCCCCACCCCACTCCCAGAACCAGGGGGCGGACCCATGAGTTCTGACCCCCCCCAGCCCTCTCCCCCAGGGCAGGCATTGGTATTGCTCACTGAGCCCAGGACAGCTCCCACCTCTGCTCTCGGAGCCGCCCCACCCGAGCCCA